AACTGTTCCAGATGGCAAACACTGTGACAGAAAGAACACACAGAGTTTATTTGATATATGCAGGTTTATTTTAGAGTTGTTCCAGGGAGACCAAGCAAAGAAGCAGTGTTGCTGCCCATTTATACTGCAGAGCACTCAGATGTAAAAGCTCTTAGTGCAGCAGGAGTCACAGCAGCTGCAGCAGCCGGCGGGGTCTCCAGAGCCAGCTTGGAGGACACCTCAACACCACAAGGTTACATTAGAGTAATATGCAAAATCTTCAGCATCAGCAGAAAGCAATGGGAAACGTTTTCTTTCATTTCTGATTTAGTCAGACTCCAGATCCGGAACATTTTTTAAGGGATTTAAGCCTAAAATAATTGTAAAAATGCTTAATTGTAGCAAATGTTTACCAGAAAGGTAAATACTGGAAGATGTAAAACAGACGGGGGTTAACACTTCAATTTTTGTGTGTGTGTGTATCTGTGAAGTTAATACTGTGAAAAGCATGGAATTAACTACAGGTTTTTGTTTTGCTTTGTTTTTAATGAAAAGTAAATGTGTCTATGCAGAGATTGTTCCAGTTTGGAACAGGAAATTCTCAGCATGCACCATATATCCCAGCAACTTATTGTGTGATAGGGAAGTCAGCCTCTCTGAAAATGAGTATGTTAGAGCTAGCAGTAACCAAATCTGAATTGTCCTAAAATGAGCATTAATCTGGAAGGAAAAAGGTAAGTAGATGGAGCCTTTAGAACCATGTTGTAAAAACATGTTAGGGAAGTACAGGCTCAAGGTCTTGTGAAATACATCGTTTAGCACTTGCTACTCTTGAGCCTAGCCACCTTCTTTCACTACACTGTTTATATTTACTCACCTTTTTGTGCCATTTGATCTTTGCTGGAGACTTACAATTTTCAGTTCATTTCAGTAACTTCAAGTGCAAACAGTACATGATCCCACCAGAAGTGATCAGGAAAATGACAGGTAGTATGGGGTCCAAGGCCAGGGGTCACCCAAGGTATCCGAGAGGCCAGGGAAGATTAAAACTCCTTCAAACATTGTCTTCTCTGTATTCATATGGTGCCCCGCACTGAGGACTATGAGAGTGGGTGCAGTTTTTCTGTGTTCAGCACAACATGGAAATGATCAACTACTCTGTACTATCACACAGGAAACACCTCCCTTTTATGGGGACACTGGAGGGAACAACCGAAGTGTTCTCTGTGCAGGAGACATCCAATGACCCAGATTTCCCCAGAATGGAGAATCCACATCCCCAGCCAGGGAAATGCTTCTTAATGTTCCCCAGGAGAAATAAAACCGCTGCTTGGAAAAAAAAAAAAGAAAAAAGAAGAAAGAAAAAAATAAAAAAGCCATAGCGGTAACGTAGTACCAAAGAAAGACAACAAAGGAATCAGTACTACCATGAAAATCCTGTGTCCTGTAGCAGAGGACTTACTAAATAAAACTTCCTTATGGCTATAGGTAGCAACTGTGTTTTGTGTTGTAGGAAATAAAGCAAAGAAAAAAAAGAACTTTTAAATGGAAGAAAAAATCCTGCCCAGAAAACTGGTGATGAGTTTAATTTAGAGGTTGTGAACAGGGCACTCTTTTGGAGTGTCTCAGAGAGTGTAATGCCAGCAGGACCAGCTGAGTTCCCTGACCCAAACACACCTGCCCTGAGAGAGGGGCAAAGGCAAGGTACTCCATGTGATATGAAGTAACCTGTTCCTTGCCTCAGGAAAGATGAATGAGGAGTAACTATATGATGAAACCATGCTATCTCTGCCTGTCTTTTGTCCCAAAGTCCATTGCCATTACTCCATCACTATTAGAAAACAGAAGTCTAGATGCCAGTAGCATAAGAAAATACATGCCTCACCTCACGCAGGGTTTCCAGAACCCTAGGAAGTGATTGCAGTGCTTATTAAGGGCCCTTAAGCAGTCCTGGGGGATGTGCTTACCTAAGGACAGAGGCATAAACCAGCAGACATGCTGCCACCCTTATTGCCATTTAAGCTGTAGGTGTGAGGACTCAAGGTCAGCCCCCGCAGTACTCAGCTATAATTCCCAGTCAACGGGAATTGTCCCTGTTAAACTGAGTGCAGCCGCTCTAATATTTGAAACTCTACTTAAAAATAAATATTGATATGGCTTAAAGGGATTAACTGAGATGACTGGATTTTTTGTTAAAAACTTTTCAAGATAAAAAAGAACCTTTTACAAAGCGTTCATTGTGTTTTGAGATGTTATTTCCTGTGATAAAATGGAAAGGGGGGGAAAATTGCTATAATAATATATGAAAATTCTCATGTTCCTAAACACCTATCTTTAAATGACCAAAAATAAGTCTCATAAAATTACACTTCAAGTAGCTCTGTGTGTGAGTTATTAGTGGACAGTAGATGTCTCACCAGTGTCAAAGAGGTAAATAGATCAAATTTTCTAAATCTGTATAGTTTAATGCTAGTGACATGAATTTGCCAGTCCTGACTTTTAATTGCTCCACTACTTTTATTCATGCTAAGTGCAGATTATTTACTTTGCTTCTCTGCATCTGTCATCCCATTTTTAAAATGGAAGCAATCACTGTAGCAGCTACAGAAAAGTTTAGAGAGGGCCAATGAACCCACGCCTTGCTTTCCACACTACAGCTGCAGCTTTCCCTTTGTCCACTGCTATCAGCATGGCAGCAAGAGGCAGCCTCAGCAGGCAGTAGGATGGCTGGCATGGAGTGGGTTGGGTACTCTGGCAGCTTCCTAGCACTCAGGCCAAACTGGGTTGAAGCTGGGGCACAGCTGGCAGCACACACACATGGCACACTGCAGAATGGCCTGGCTGCCTGGAGAGGTGCTCAGGCTACTAGAGAATGAAAGCAGAGATAATCTTAGATGGGTATAGATGTTACAAAAGTCTTTGAAATCAAAAGAACGCCAAAAAAGCTCCCATTTTTTTCTCTGTATAAATCCTTGAATTCAATCTTCGGCTTAGTAAACTGCTTCTTTTAGCAAAGTAAATTCAAAAATGCCGCGGTGATGAACAATGTAATAAAGAAAGCCATCATATTATTCTTGAATGAGGTTTAATAAAAATCAAATAAAAGCAATTATATGAATTTTCAAGAGGATCACCTTTTTCTTCCCTGAGGTATGAAGCAGAATGAATTCAGGAAATCGTTCAAATCAGAAACTTGAGCTGCACAACATAGCCAGTGTTTGCTCTACAAAGACAAACAGACATCTCTTCCCAGGCTAGCAGTCTGCTTGCTGGTGGAGTGGAAATTCCACCTGTGGGCAAAGGAGGGTAATTAAAGAGGCACAGCAATTTCTTTGTAGTAGTGCTGGCTCTTCGACTCCAGAGAAACCTTCATCTTTTCAAGTATTCATGCTCTTCTTTATTTATGCAAGAAGAAATTGGACACAGTGAAACACTTAGAGCTGCCACAGATCTCTGTAAGCAAGTATATGTGAATTGATACCCATTAACATGTACCACATGCTCCTTTGCTCTCAGAGGGCCAGGTTTACCATTTTTCTCTAACTTACGCAGTCATTTAGGTTAATAGAGAGCATTTGCAAAGCACCACCAAGTAGGACCAATCCTGAAATATTTGTCTTTACACTTTCCAGTTGGATAGTTAAGTGAAATCCAAAATTTATTGTGAGATTGTGTTATTTTCAATGCCATTTTAAAAGGCAGAGAGCAGAAATGCATTATATCAATATTTTTGTTTACTCTGATAAGAGGAAAACATTTTGTGCTGACTCTCATTTCAGTTGCTTTTGTTTTCAATATAATGTTAAAGTAAGTATTGCAATATTGGTGCAAAATGTTGATGACAAGCATGGTTATACACATTTTTTACAAGCTATCTACAGTGTGTCCACTTTCTCAGATTCAGAATGAAAACAAATTCTGAAGTAAAAATCTTACTGTTAGATTAAAATATATAGCTAGATTAGATTAAAATATATAGGTAGGTTAGACACTGCTTGGAAGTCAGATGCAGAGGAACTCCATTGCCTTCAAAAGAGAAACTTCTGCTTCCTGCCATGTTCCAGGAGAGCAGAGGTATGTCCTCTGTATTATAAAGCACTGGTAGACAGTAACTAAATATTTGAAAGGAGCAGATTTTATTCTGCTTGACTCGTATTTATAACATGCTTTGATATCTGCAAAAGGAAGACAGCTGAAGTTGGATGGAAGAAGTGGCAGCCAGACACTGTAACCAGGTGCCATATTTTCACTGTGAATGTATCACAGCCTTGTACTCTTGGTCAAATCGTTTAGGGTATGAATCAGTCTTACAGGCTTTGGTCCTTGCATATCTCATGTAATCCCATCTTCTTTGAGCCAGATTCTTGCTCTGCAATCTAACTTTCCGTGGCTGATCTTTGGTGGCCCATCAATTAGTAAAGCAGACACTGACTTAAAATGTAACAACAATTTTGACTCTAGTCAAAACAATGTAAATGGAAAAACATAGCAACTCCAAAGTAACACTCAATGAGGCAGAAAAATAGGGAGACAAAAACTCTGATCCTAATCTTGCAACAAATTGTATGCAAATATTGCCTTGGGGAAACTTTTGGGCTGTGATATTTTTCCTGTTAAATATTCTGTAGGATTTGGGCCTTAACTTTATGTCACAGAAAGAGAATAACAGTAGAGAGAGGTTTATATCTGTACCTACTGATGCCATGTAAGATTCATTGTTCAATGAAAAGAAAAGCAACAGGCTTCTTGTTATCTATCTTTCATAATATTTGGAATGTAAGTGCTGTTGTGCCAGACTGCCAGTTATTTGGCACACATTACCTCCAGAGAAATGGCTAAGAACTGAGAAATGCAGGTTCTTCAAATTAAAAGAGGAAAAATAATCTCACTACAGGTGTCTTAAATATTTTGTGAGGTACGTGAACTCCACTCTGGCAAGTTGTGTCTTTCACATACATATAAAAAAGCAAAATGATTGATCATATATTTGAGAGTCATTACCAACTACCATTTCCTCCAGATCAATTCAAAACAAGTAAAGATACATGTTTAATATCAGGTAAAGGGAGCATTTTATTTTTTTTCTCTCATTTGCTTTTTTTCAACTTTATCTTTGGAAAGGCTGGCTCTGGTTTTCTCTTCTCAAGTCTTCAGAGCTTCCAGTCACTGAGAAGTGACTCCAAACAATTATCAAAGAAAGCAACTTTGAGTAGAGGACAGGTGCATTAGCAGAGATTGCCTATAGTTTTCTTTCACCTGTGAAAATGACAAAACATACAGCAGCATGAGAATGTATACTTTCTCCCCCACTTAGAAAAGGTGCCTTTTGATTTCAGGACTTTGATAGACTACCCAGTACTTCCCTGATCTAACCTTCTAGTCCTATTAAGACAGGATAGGATGCAGTGTTTGAGGTGTCATTGCTAACCTCTGCGTTCCCCACAAGACTGTAGAGTCTGGACTGAAATAATTCTGAAAGTCTCCATTGAGTTTTATGCAGTATTTAAACAAACTCCCGTAACAGTAGCCCTATAATGTACATCATACATCCTTTCACCTGGGTTTGGGATTTTTCCAGGTTTTTAAAGTTGAAGTCTAGGTAGTACTTAGTGCTCTTAAAGGTAATTCTACATTTTGCTCTAGCTACCAGATAGGATCTAAATACTGCATGCCAGCTGCCAAAAGAAAAGAAATTCAGAAAGGAAATATGGAAAAATGGGGTTGGTATAAAGAATTTCATCAAATGTCAGGAAGCCATTAATTCAGGACAAACTTGCTATGTGTTCCTCTGTTTTGTTTAAAACAAAGCACTGACAAAAAAATGTAGACTTATGTACAATAACAGGAAATCAAACGGATGCTATTCCAGCATGTATATGGAAAATGCATATGTATAGAAATTAAATAAAAAAAACCCTTTGGTTAAAAAAAAAAAAAAAACCACAAGATTACTTTTCAGCTTTTAAATTTTGGAAGGTAAGATGGAGTGGAACAAGTGTGATTCTGTTTGAGATAATAGGATAATTTTTCCTCTTTAAATGAGCAAGCCTAGCAAGCAAACACTCACAATCTTCCCTCTGTGATCGTAATTGTGATGCCGCAAATAGGCAATAACTGCCTGGCTGTGGCTCACATGAGGGATGAAGCCGATGGACTTTGTCTGCTCTATAGAGAGAAAACTTCACAGTGAGTTTGTGGAGGTTAGCAAGGACAGTACGTTCATGTGGTTTTGCCTACATTTCAATGAAAATGACTCAACACAGTGATTTAAATTACACCTGTACTGTGGCTGGCTTGTTGGAACAAGGCACCTGCCAGTTCAGCTCCCAAGTGAGAAACAGGTTCAGGTACAGGTTCTGGTCATGCATTTGCCATAGATTTTTGAGCAAATCCAGTTGCCTAGATTTCCAAGAATACCTTCCATTCCTAGATGTTCTGGTTGTAAATATTTAGCTAAGGACACCTTCACGTGTCCCAACAGTCAGCACCAAGTTGTCATTTGTGTCAGAAATGCTCATGCAAGGATCTCAGGGTAGTCAGTTCATTATACAAACACCACTTGTGATACATATCAATATATTTCTATTTATTTAGATCTTCTTATATTTAACAATATTTATTCATATTGTTCATGCAGACCAAAAGAATCACACAGAAGTAGGAAATAAGCCTGTTGCTAACTGCAGTGTTTTCATGCCCATGCTATCAACTTAGAAAAACAGTGGACATGGTCTTCAGAAAGGATAACGTTACAACTCTTCTTGCGAAAGAATCTAAATGTCAACTGCTTTTGCAAACCTGATGAACCAAAACACTTTTCATAAATTAGGCATTTTTCTTACCTATGCAAACGTACTTGTGTGGCATGTGGAGAAGCACCAAGTCTGAGCGACCTTGCTGGATTGCAGGCTTACTCAGATTGTGTAGTCATGATGCTGGAAGCAAGTGTTTATGATACGAGTTGCCACTAGACATAAACATCTGAAAGCCCTTTGGTCCTGCAATAACAAAAATTAAAGCACTAACTTAGCCTCACAATACTGCTGTACAACAAAAACAAGCTGAAATAAATTCCCTACAGACAGATAACCCAACTCACCTGCTTTCCAGTCCTGAACACAAACCCTCTATTTAAAGAATCTTAGACACCCTCTACTCTATTATCTGAGGAACAGATTTATTGTAAAACTAAAGGAAATTAATTCAACAGATCACTGTTTTAGCAACATTTATTTATTTAATATCAGAAAGAATACAGTTGTGTGAAATCCTCCTTCAAGATTGTGAATGAATTAACAAACATGTTTCTGCAAATCCAAAATTTTAAAATGATGATTTACCATCTTTAATCTCTATCAGGCATGAATACATTCTTACATGATAGGTGTATGGGAACTGCTGAATCACAGCCTGAACCTCTGATTGCTCTGAGGCAAGCAAAGAGTCAGTCCTGAGTGCACAGGTGAAGGCAATTCACCTGTGCTGCTGGAAGGGGTGGAGCTTGTTCCACCTCTCCTAGACCCCATTTAAGAGCTGACTACAAGTGGCTTTCTTTTTGGAGATTGCTCTTCTTGGAGTCTTTTCAGAAAGCCTAGGATAAGGGTAAGCTTTCCATCCATTCTTCTTTGCTGTGATAACCTGTTTAGCCTAACTTTCCTGTGTATTTCTTAATTATAACATCTGTATTTTTGTATACAATGGGAAATAAAAAAAATCCTGAAAATGTGTTCATTCTTAGAAATGAAGTAGAAAATAGCCACTATACAAGACAGTTTCTCTTGTTTAATTGGGTGCTAACAATTAAAATCTGCTTTTAAAATAATTTTTGCTAGATTTGTTTAATTTTTGTCATACAGTTTTTTTGTTATGTTTTAATTTAGCTTTAACTTTTTTAAAGTGTCTTCAAAGAAATGACTGAAAGAAAACAACACCTGAACAATGTGGAACGTGCAGGGGTGCAATGAACGTAGTTGCTGTGTATGTGGAGTTTTTTGATCCATGTATATAGACTTAGATTTACATAAGTAACTGTGTGGCTATGAGTCCCCTAAATCCTCTTAAAGCTGTGTTGTAAATCCCAAAGAAGCTCCCCTTTGTGTCTTGTCTTAAGGTATTTGGCCTTGGAAGCTTAAAGCTCTTGTGTTGGCTCGTGGTTGGTATTGAGGAAGCTGTGTATGAGCAAGCAATGTTGCAGAGGTGCTTTGTGGGCCAACAAGAACACCTGCAATGAGGTGGCGCAGGGAGGTATATTTTTGCTTAAGTACAAGTCAGGTTGGTGTCTTTGGTGCTTTCCCAGTGGATGCAAGCCTCATGCATGCAGGTATCATCCATAAAAGCAGCATGTGGCTGAAGTGATTAAAACCTCACACTGTGTGTTCCGGAGCAGCCAGCTTTTTGTGTGAAACATTTAGTGGGTGCTCCATGTTGCAGCCCTCTGTCACACTGCCCACTGAGCAGGTCCCATCAGCACAGTGATACTGTTCTGGGAGCTGTGTGATAGCCACTGTGGGGCTGAACACCAGCCATGCTGCTGTTCTGCTGGCCTCACAGTGAGATGCATGCTGCATGTTTGCAAAGCTCCCTTTCCTTCTGTGGCTGTGGTTGTTAAGGAGGACTGATCTCCCCAGGCCTCTCTGTGCCACCAAGCAGAGGTCTGTTTATCCCTGCAGCACAGAGTGGAGGGAAGCCCTGACTCCTCCCGTGCAGGGTCGGTGGGGAGAGCAGGGGCAGAAAACACGGAGTGCTTGAGCATTAGCTCTGACCTACCATGAAAGCCAATTTAAAAAAAAAAAAAAAAAAAATTATTATTCTAACTGACAAGAGTCTGCAAGAAGTTGTGCCCAGGCATGACAGTTCTGTTTGATGATAAAATAGTATCCTCTTTCCAGTTACTCATGCAAAATTATGGGTTTTTATTTAAGAAGTGTGTACTCCTGAGCCTCTGCTTCCTTCCCTTCTGCACTAGGTTACATGACTGACACTTTTGCCATGACAAATCCAAGAGTGTTTTAAAAATTTACCATGAAAACCCTGGAGCTTTAATTATTGTGCATTTACATAATTAGTGCAAATACATGCAATTACCATGTGTACCTACACAATTACCAGCTACAATGATGTACTAACAATCCTTATTAAACTTTGGTGGGGGAGGGCTGTGTTGATTGTATGCGTGAGGAACATCTGTAACCCCGTCCTCCTTTTCTCTCCCTTGCTGGAAGCAACCATGTGTTTAGGGACAGGGTTGGCATGCTGGGAGCAGCGACATGCTGGAAGTAGGTCAGTCAGCTGTCCAAATCAGACTTCCAGGAGGTGAAAATACAGGATGGATATTCCCAATAATGTTTCTAGGACATAGTTTCTGCTGTTAGTGCAATGCCATCAATACTTGATTACCCATGGGTTAATTATCCAAACTGCGAGGTAACTGTGCTACATCAGTATGTGTGTCTTTGCTCACATCTGCAGTTCACCTGAGTGAAATCCCCCAATTTCTATCACAGCTGTACTTTTCTTGTCTTGGAGCTACAAGAGTCTACATAAAGCGAGTCCTCTTGATGTGTCTTTGTGCCTTGTGGTGGCTGTGTCTACCTGAATATCTACTACAGTGTTTACAAATGACTTATTTTGATTAATCTTCTGCAAAGAAAAAATGTTCCGGCTCACAAATATTCTCTCTTGCAAAACGCATGCTCTCTGTTTTACAGAAATTGCTCAGTGTAAAAATTCATAGGATCATTAAGGTTGGGAGAAGATATCTAAGGTCATCAATTCCAACCATCAACCCATCCACCACAATGCTCACTTAAACATGTCTGTAAATGCCATATATACATGCAGCTTAAACACCTCCAGGGACAGTGACTTTACCACTTCTCTGGGCAGCCTGTTCCAATACGCTACTGCTCATTCAGAGAGGAAGTCTTTTCTAATATCTAACCTAAACAAAACCCAGAATTCTGGGCAAATTTGACTTAAGCCATCATGAAAGCATTAGATGTGCTGACTCAGTAGTTCTCTGGGCTCTTGTTCTATGGGAATTTTTTCTACTTCTGTTGGTTTGTGAACAATGGAATAGAGCAAGTGATGTAAATGACTGTACCTTCTCCTACTGTTTCCAGTTTTGCCCTTATTCTGGTCCTCAGCTGCAAGGAATTGCCTGTGGTATCTCTGAAAGGGCCTTGCAACAAAACTCCTTGCTGCTCTTTCTCTTCTAGGTACTGCCTTATGCAGGAAGGAAAATGGTCTGCTGCCTGTTTGTTCCCTTCATCTCATGAAACCTGGCTCAGGCTTTTTGCATGTAAGCCTATGGAGTGTGTGGTTGTACAGAAGAGCTTGCTTTTTGGTTGTTTGTCTTTTGCTTTTTTTTTTTTTTTAACCTCTTCTCACAGTAGAAAGCCGTTGTGTCTATTAAAACAGTGGAAAAATTGACAGGCTAATTGTTGCTGCTAAATGCAATAAAGTAGTACTTTGGGCTCTCAGGCATGTTTTATGACCAATATGGCAATTACTGAATAAAATCCCATGCCCCAGAATGTTTATTTGTGTAAACAACTTATGGTTATTTATTCATATTTTATGAATATTTTTTTCAAAATTGTATTAACCATCCCTTGTGGTAGAAAATACAGTTGGTTGGGGGGAAAAAAAAAAAAGATATGCCACATGCTAAATGGAAGGATCCATTGAGAATCTAGTCCTGAATGTGTTTAAGCCCTGTTTTATTCAGCATGATTAGCTGTGTTACAAGCCACCATTATGTTCTGGCAAGCTCTGTCTGATTGAAGCAGTCCTCACTTTCCTCACAATAACACTTCACTTGCTGGTCTCTTTCCATGCTGGCTGGCTGGATCATTTAAAACCTCTCACATAAGTTTAGACCAGGGTTCAACCAAGATGTTTTCCAGCTGGTGCTGGTGGCATCTGATATCTTTTCTTCATGATTGAGTCATGTAAGAGCTGAAGACAAGGGGAGAAACAGAAGTAGATCTTGGACTTCAGCATGGATGCTCTACAAATGGCTGCATTTGTTGTTCTTTAAATCTCATGATCTTTTGCTATTAAAATTCAGTTCAAACTTAAAAAAAAAAAAAAAAAACTGTTTATTGTCAAAATCAGGCAGTAGGTAGTCAAATAGTAGAGTAAATACTGCTATCTGTCTGTGAAACAAGAATCCACATCATGGACAGCTCTGCTAACATAGTAAATGAAATTATTTCAGGGTAGTTATGTGCACGTCTGGTTTTACATAAGGTTACATGATTGCATTATTTGTGGTCATTCAAAATCCTTGGGTGCTCTCTTACAAGAGTATGGTGTTGCATGCAGCTGGAAGATGATCAAAGTGCTTTGCTAATTATATTCTGCCTGAGTACATTCCCTGAAGTTAAAGCTTGGGTAAAATTTTGTTTTCTTTTTCACTTTTTCTTCCTGAATCTGTATAATGCAGCTTTAAAAAAAATTTAATAACAAAAGTGATCACAGTCCCTACTTAAAATCTTACCTTCAGGGTTTGGAAGATCATTTTCTTTATGGGCAAGGCATGGACCAGCTGAGTGACTTCAGCCCAAACCAAATTTTGGTTTGAAATTTCTCAAAGGTGAGATTTGCTTGGTTTTTGAATTTAGACTGAACTGGCTCTAACAGAGCACTGTCTTGATCTGCTTCAGAAGGGCAGATTATATGCACTAGGGTGAAGAGTGTTTATGTCCCTGTAAAAGTACACTTTCAGCACTATATAAATAGCACGTTTACAATGCTGCATTTCCTCAGCTCACATGTGAAGTTCCTTCTCAGTAACTTATAATCACGTGGTGTGCCTTCTCTTCCTATTCTTTTTTTTTTTTTTTTTTTTAATTTTGTTTTGTTTTAAGCTGTGTCCTTGACTCTTGAAGGCACACATCCTGGATTTTAATGCTATCTCACCACATCACATTTTTAAAGGCTTTGTTCCCTTTGCCAAACTAGCCAAGTCGCCTTGCTTAACCTAGCAGGATATGTCAGGCAGGGCTGTGTATGGTGCTGTAAGCCAGAGCCTGGTGCTACACAAAGGATAACGCATGCTCAGTGGAACCCTAGGCACTGAGCTGCCTGGTGGTGGTCCCAGAGCCACGGTATGTGCAAGGCATCTGGTCATGTCAGCTGCCCTTCAGCAGTGCGCCATGGTGAGTTTGGGGCTTCTAGGCATGTTAAATAACTTGTAAAAGTTTGGCATAAATAAGGGGTTGGCTCAGATGAGATGCATTCTCTTAGAGACCAAGAAAAGTGCTGATGCTACAGCTCCCAATGCTGGAGCTCCTGTACGGAGTTGTGTACCAAGTTCTGGTCAAGAATGATCATGGTACTGAAGCAGTGTATGCTGAGAAATGCTGAAGAGGGATCAAGCTGAAGATGACCTGTAGGAGTTCTTAGGTTTCAAAAGGGAAGGAGAAAAAGAGAGCCCAAACCTCCAGCCACTTTCCTCTTAATGTTGTGATTGTTTTCAATCTGTTTTTCTCAGTAAAATTGTTTACTTTTTTCCCTAGGACTCCAGTTGCATAACCACATACTTCCTTAGAGTCTTTGCATGGCAATTTCATGTCTAATTAAAGAATTCACATAAGCCCTGCTTTTTTTTTTCCTCTGTAAGAGATTAAAATGGCCATAGATTTTAGTACACTATGCAAGTTTGTCTGCACGTGGTGAAATGTGTACACACTGACTGAAGCCCCACTTGCCCATTAGGTTGCCTCCCCTGATGTAATGTGGGTATGTTCTGTGGTACTGCTCCTGTGGCTCCGTGTAAATAAGTCAGGAGAAGACGCTATCCCTTCGGTTTGGGGCAGCACCAGCTGGACTGCTCTGTGAGGTAGGCTGCGACAAGGAGGGAGCAGCGGTCTGTTGGATGGATGGGTGTCAGGTGAGAGCTCAGAAGGGCCTCGTGTCCGTGCAGCCCCGGGCCTCGACACAATGCCACAGGTAGCTGGAAGGGAGAGCACTGCTGGTGTCAGACGGCGGTAGGGAATCAGCGCTGCCCGTACAGTCGCCTGTGTGTATTGTAGGAGGGGTGCGCCATCCCGCAGCCCACGCTGTGCTCCTCTGGGTTATCTTGAACTGGGCACGGCAGCAGCAGCCCTGCGCTGCAGCGAGCTGCGAGCGCTCATCCGGCGCGACGCGTGCCCAGCCTGTGCGCTACCTCACCAGCTCCATCCCGGTGTGTGGTCGTAGTATGAGTTACGATAGCAGTAGAATTCATTTCAACTGCGGCTGAGGACGGGGGGAGGTTCTGCTTTAACACGCGATCCTATGGGGGCGGTGTCTCCGCCCGCCGCGGGTTGTGTGGCAGGGCCGAGGTTGGCAGACCCGCCTCGGGCACCGCGGGGAGCGGTGGTGGTGACCGCTTCTGTGCTGCTCCGGGCGGCCCCGCGGCGCTGCGCAACCGGGCCGACAGCGGGAGCGGGCGCGCTGCGCCCCGTACTGCGGCCACGCGCGGGGCTGCGGTTAATGGCCAACCTTGTCGTTCAGGCCGATTTGGAGCAACCAAAGCCCGCCGTCCGCCCCCGTCTTTGTCTGAGCCAGAGGTTGTGACACCTCAGCTCGTTGCTGCCTTACGGGACCTTAATTGCAAATGAGCGTGGTGCCGAGGTGCGGTGCTGCCGACAGCCGTGCGGCTGCAGGGGCGCGAGAGCCCCGCGGTAGAGCTGCCTCCCGCTCCCCCGGGCTGGGTCCGCGCAGCGGCGGGCACGGTGGCGGCCGGTGACCGGAGGCTCCCGCGGCGCCTTTAAGGGCGCGGGGGGCGCGCGCGGGGCAGCGGGTGCGCGCGGCCGGCTGGCAGCGGCATTGTTCCCTGACGTCACTGGCAGGCCGCGCGGCGGCGGCGGCTCTCCAAGTTGCCTTTGTTATTCGGCGCTCCCCGGCTGACACCGCGGCCGCACGCAAAACGCGGAGCCGGAGCCGCGCGGAGCGGCAGGAGGGCGGGCGGGGGGCGCCCCGGGGACGGGAGCCGCGGGCTGCGGCAGGGCTCGGCCCGGGCGGGCGCCAGCGAGATAGGAATAGGGAGAGGGAGGGAAGAAATAGAATCTCCCTCCCCTCCGCCGGCAGCGAGGCGGTGCGGGGTCGCTGCTTCGCTTGCGTCTCCTAATTGCGGAACGTGGGAGCCCCGCTGGAGCGGGGTGGGCGTGCGGGGCGCACCAACGGCCGTCGGAAGCGCAGAACGTCCCTGCGAGCGGGAGTCAGTGGGGGGAGCAGCCGGGGGAGCGCAGATCAGCCGATCGGCGCCCGTCAGCCGAGGCCAGCGCCCCGCCGCCGACTCGCTGGGAATCGCGCTGGGTTTCCTCGGGAGCAGAAAAAAACCACCCACCCAGCTCCACACCCGCCCCATTGTCGGCGCCCCGGGCCGCCCGCCCCCCCCCGCCGTCGGGGCCGCTCCCCCGGCCCGCCCCGCCGCCCCCGCCTGCTCTGGGCAGCCCCCTCCCCCAGTGGCGAGCACCCCCCGAGCCGCGGCTCGCTCCTACCTGGGTGGCGGCGGGGCCGGGGCCGAGGTGAACCCCTCGGGACGGCGGCCGCCCCCGACCGCCTGCCCGCGGGTCCCCCCGGCCCCGCAACGAGCCGCGGTACTCGGAGGCACCACGCGCTCCGGAGCGCTCTCGTTGCGGGGTGGTTTCCCCTTATTTAATAACAACAATTCAGCAGGGAGGATATTTGCCTGCTCTCAGTTTCCAGAGTGGAAGGGTTTTCTCTCTTTTTTTTTTTTTTTTTTTTTTTCTCTCCTCTTTGCGTGCGTGCGTGCCATTCAGGAAGGCTTAAACGCGACTCCCCGCCTTAAACCCGCTGTAAGACAATATTTGTGTTTTAACTCGGCTCTCAGCTTAACTCCGGGTGCTCGGCGGGTGGGGGCAGAGGGGAAGGGAGAGGGCGAGGGAAGAGCGTCCCCGCAGGAGGGAGGCAGCTCCCTTTCAGATAGGAATCTGGGACAGATTTTGCCAGCAGCCACAAAGCATGGCCCTTTGGTAATAGAATAGCCAATGTAATTTGACACTTCAACTTGCTGTGCTCTCTGCTAGTTGATTCACTTACTCACCCACTAACATTGAGCTCCTTTTCACTGTCTGTGGGCAAGGGAAAAAGGGGGGGGGGGGGGGCAGGCCAACAAAAAAGGGGACCGGGGGGGGCCCGACGGGGGGAAAAAAAAAAAAAAAAACACCTATTCAAAAATCCCCCCGGAGAGCTGTGCGGCACTTGGGGAGAGGAGCCGGCGTGCCGCTCCGCGCCGTGCAGCCGAGGTAAGTTTGGCGGCCGCCCGCGCTCCGTGCCCGGGCAGGGGTCGCGCCTCGGCGGAGCGCGAACAATGGGGCGGGCGGGGAGCGCCCCGCGGGTGCACCGGGCGGGCGGGGAGCCGGGCCTGGCGGCGGGGAGGCGGCCCCGCGCCTGGAATGTCCTTGCAGGGGCCCGGCACCGGGACGAGTTGCCGCGGCGTGGGGCCGCCGGTCGCCAAAACAAAAGGGGCCGGGGCTCGGGGCCGGGGCGGCGGCTGCCCCCGGGCGGGCGGGCAAGCGCCGTCGGGGCGGGCGGGCGGCGAGCCCCGGGGCCGCGGGCGTGCGCTTGGCCGGGGAGGCGCGCGGGGGAGCTTGCGGCCGCTTTCCGTGCTGCGGGAAGCTCGCCTGGGTGGAAATTCCTTGTGTCTGGGTTTTGAAAGCCAGTTGGGACCGGGGCCTCTCTCGGCAGGCAGGAGGAAGGAGCGGCCCCCCGCCTCCTACCGCTGCCGCCCTCCCTCCCCCCGGTGCATCTGTCCAGGAAGCCGCTGGGCGGAGGGGAGGGGGCCGGGGGCAGGGGCCGGGGGGGTGGGAGGGGAGGCCCGGCCGCCGCTCGCCGCCCGCCGCCCGGTCGCCTTTGTGCGAGGGGAACGGGGAGAGCGCTGCCCGGCGCTGCGGAGCGGAGCGGGCGGAGCGCGGGGCTCGAGCCACTCCAGGAATGTAAACACGCGCGGAGCCGGCCGGCCCCGGCGTTGCCCGAACCCCGCGCTGCTCCGCTGCTGTTCCGGGCCGGTGGCGGCTGCTTGGGGCCACAACCGGGATTTTCGACTGCAAACTTTGCTTCGCACGTGGGAAGTTGCTTTTCAGTGCTGCTTTTCGGGCTGCTATGAGGGGCGCCGGAGCGGGTGTCGCTTTTCGGGTTTTGTTTCAGGCAACTGCAGACAACATTACCCAGTTCTTAAAGGTGCAATGTGCGCGCTGGGGGAAGCGGAGCCCCCAAAGCGCGGAGGAACGGCTTTGTGCGGGGCGCGGGGTCCCGCTGGGCAGCTCGGCGGCGGGGAGAGCGTTCCCCGTCGCGGCCGTGCGGAGAAATTTCCCGAGACCGCAGCGAACTTAAGGCACAGCCCCGCGTTCCCGGCTGCCCGTGCCCGTGTACATTTCTGTGATTCGGTTAATAATCTGCAAACGGCTTAATGGCTCCGGAGTGCCCCAGTAGTGGGTTTTCTCCATTGACTCGCGCAGGCCCGAGCGGAGCGCTGCCCCGGCCCTTTCTCAATGCGCTGACATGAGAGAAGAGGATTTGACTTGGCAGCCTGAACAAATGCTCTATCAAAGGTTTCCTAAGAGACAGTGAGAGAGCGGGGGAGATGAATGACCCGAGGGAGTTGTAGGGTGCTACCTATGCAGGTTTCCTTTTAAATACGAAGTGGCCATTTAGGGCTCTGAATAAAACTGCGCGCATCAGAAAGGCGACAGGCTTATAAAATTTAAAAGGGCAGAAGCCCATTAATGCTGTGGCGGAGCTCTGGCTCCCAGCTCTGCTTGAGCGCTTCCAAGCGCCTCGAAGTGCCAAAGCTTTTAAGGAATCCTGAGCAGCGACTCCCCCGGGGCTGGGGGACCTCGACCTTGCGTGTGGGCGGCCCCTCTCCCCGGTGGGGACTCGGACGTGTGGGGGACGTGGGCTGGGGACATTCAGAAGTGGGAGCAGGCGCGGTGCGGGGGCACGCGGGAGCCCCGCAGTGGGTCCGAGGCTCTGCAGACGGGGTCTCGGAGCAGGGAAGTTTCATAGGTAGCAGAATGAAATGGTAGTGCCCCGGCAGCCTGTGGGAGAGCAGGGGTCTGCTCATCAATGGGGATGCTCTCTGGTTCAGACTTCCCCTTCCTTCTCTCGCTAGAGATAAATTTACTATGGCATCAATCTTGTCTTGGCGGGCCACGATTCAGGTTTGTGAATGCCAGAAGACTCGCTCTGACCTTTCTCTGTTCAAGTTGAGGATGTTGAAACACCAGCCATCAAACAAAAGGCACATTGAAAGCAGGCTCTGCACCGAGCACGTGTGGCTGTGGGGTAGCGGGGTGCGTCTGGGGGCTGTGTGCCTGAGTTGGGCTGGGGGAGGAGAGAGAAAAGGCCGCTTATTGCTGGAATGAGAGGATGGAAAACATGACTTGAAGTGCTCCAAATATCTTGGAGTCAAGGACCTGTTTCTTTGTATCTTTATTTTAAAGAGTCTTAGGAAAAACGACTTGTTCTCTACTTTTTTTTTTCTTTCTTATTTTAATTGATGTATAATTAGCAAATAACTAATATATTTTTTGTCCTGTGGAGGCGAAGATGACCAAAATTTTGCAGAATTTATCAACTTATAAAGCAAAACAATCCCCAGAATCTTGGGAAAATTAAATGCCTTTGGGATTACACCTTAAAACAATGAAAATTCTCTGGGATTTAGTTGGCAGAGTTGGGATTTTTATCTGCTTAGGAGAACACTACCTCAAAAAGTAGTGCAAATGTAAAGATGACTGTAAGTTGTAATTTAAACTTATTTGGGTCTGTCAGAGTTTAAAAAGAACACCCTCAGGAGCAGTCAGCACAGATATCTAACCTGGCAGCAGCATTCCTGTCAATGTAGGCAGATGCTGTTATTGTGTACAGTGTTTACGGGCTACAATACCTTAAGTAAACATTGATCATGATTAGAAACAATAATTGAGGCTGTGGCAAAGGATCAATGAAAACTTTGTTTCAGAGGAGAAGCGAGTTGCTGTGCATATATACAGAGAGTGTTTTGTGCTGCCTGAGATGTGCAGTGTTAATGCGGTGCGAAATTCCGGTTTTAGACTATTTTAAGAAATCCACAGAGATGACAGATCAGTTTTTGCATCATCTAAGAGATATGTCCCAATCAGCGTTGGTTACAGGAGCTGAAAGGAGAGCTGAATGTGTGCATCACATTTCCATTCATAACTTTTCTTGGGAGCTGCTTACGCTTCACCCCAAATCGCCCCCAAAGCTTTTGTGGAGACCAAAAAACCAAATTAAAAACCAACTCCTCAAACATGGGGGTGACAGTTACATCACTGATACTGCAGACTCGTTTGTAGCAACTTGGTGTTGGCTAGCAGCTGTGGAGCCTGGTTTCAGTCTTGAAAAGGAAATGTATCTCAGAGAGGAAACAAAGTTGGAATTCCGTTTGCCTTCCCTGGTGTTTCTGATAGGCCTCAGTCCACAGCCCAGCCCTGCAGAAAGGACAGGAGATAAGGTGGCCAGGGCTGTGCCCCACCTGGGCACCTGCTTCTCACAGGTGCGTAGGGCTGCAGCCAATGCCTGTGGGGGCAAGAGGGACCACTGTGCAATTGGCTGATTTCTTCACTCCTCGTTGGACCCATTTTTGTGAAACCCCATCCTGTGTTACGGCAGAGAGAAAAGACTATTGCTGAAGAGTTGAGGATGGGTTTGTGCTTATTCTCATCAAATGCCTGGTGTGGGACAAGGAGCACAAGCGTTCCTTATGTGTTTGCATCTTTTTATGAGAAATCACAATATGCAGTGCCACGATGCTGTGTGTGGGCACTGATGTACCTGCTCTTCAGATATTTTCCTTTCCCTGAACTTAGGTATGTCAGCTTTCCTGCTGATGGTATTTTGAGGCTGTGTCAGTGGTATTAGGAATCATTTCTGCTTTAAAATGGTGTCTTTGGCTCAAAAACAAGGTTTGTGAATTGGAATGTTGCTTTGTCATATTGATTTTTCTTCTGCTTTTCTTTTTAAAAGCAAAAACTTCTTAGGTAGTGATTTCATTTTATTTATTTCCATTGGGCTTCACAGGATCATTAGCGTTGTGCTTGGTTAATGTTTGAAGTTTTTCAAGGTAATTGAGGCCACGAGAGAAATGGCCAGCAAGGGGTTTTAATGGATCTCCACAGCTTGACTGCTGGAGGCAGTAGTGCATTATGAGAGTGGAGGATAGTTGTACACTTGTTACATGTTATTTTGGGTTCAGCTACTTCAAGATGTACTGAAGTTTATATGGCCTGTGAAGGTGTGGTGTGGGATCTCAGTACTGTGTTGCTATCCCTTATTAAGCAGGACAGATTGCTATGGATATTTTGTATCTGGGAGAGAGGAAGAAAAGTTATTTTTAGGTAGGAAAAGTCACTTTCCATCATTTCTCCTTCAAGCATCAACCCAGGTTAACTTTCTTGGCAAGGAGTGAGACATTAATTCTGGAATGTTCCCTTTGAGAGTGCTGGATAGGCCACCATTTGGTCTAGGCCATGATTTCCTTCAGGTGCTTATGCTTTTTAAACCTGTATTAGAGGATAGGAAAAGCAATTTGTGCTCTTCTACTGAGTCCTGGAACATCCAAACATGATTCCTTCCAAGGGGGGGGGGGCCTGCAGGTTGGCACTTGATGAGTTGGGATTTAGGATCTAATCAAGTATCTGCACTCAGAGACCCATGCATCCTTTCATTAGACAATTCAATACATTGAGCTGTTCTATATTTTGTGTAGCGCATTAATATTGAGGTAGTACCGTGTAAGCTATCATGTTAGCATTCCATTAAGATAAATGTGAGAAGTGTATCCCTTTGTTGACAATCAGCATTTGTTTTGACTCAGTGGAGCAGCTCTAATTCCCAAAAGAGGTGATTCCCAAAGTGATGCAGGAGGGTTGTTGGCTCAGTATGGTTGGAGTGGAGGGAAATCATTGCTCCAAAGCCATAGGTAGGTATGATGCTGTAAGTTGTGGAAGTTCATCAAAGTGATTTGGATTTTCTGTTCTTTTCCTTGTTTGTTTACATAAGGACTTTGTTTTTCCTCCTGATATACCACTTATTCAACTGTGGATGATGATGTGGATGGTGATGAGCTGATTTCTAAATCTGATGCTGTCCTGCTGAGGAGAACCCTTTCTGCAGCTCTGTGCCCTTACCTGGGCGGTGTTGGGCTGCCTGCTCTGTTGGTGCAGCCATTCTGCTCACATCTTCCCCAGATCTCCAGCTGCTGGGGAGCTGGCTGGAACTCGGT